TTGGGCATTCCAATATTGAGTGAATATAGCCGTAAAATTGAGACCTAGCAGATTTCCGAAGATCACCTTTCTAGCGAGCAAATCAAACCATGTCGACTATCCATCGTTGGCATCTTGTTGTTTCAACCTTTGAAATAAGCTCAACTATGGGGTCATTCATGATGAACGCAATTTTGCATATTGATTTCGCATCCAAATACTTGTGTCGAACGTCTTTCATCAATACTGGTCACGAAAACTTCAGGCTACTCACAAGAAACAGCGAGAAGCATAAAAGCCAGATTGTCAACTGAGCGAGAACTCAGTATTACTGCTTTACTGCACCCACGTTGGTCATCTCGATGAAACGCTGCATTAAAAACATTAAAATTAACCAAAGCTGGTTTTGAAGTTTTTATACAATTAGGCTGAGAATTCTTACCGGACAAACAACCAATGATAAAGAAGGTAGAGGGATTTCTTGACCTATTCCATAACAGGTCTTGAAGACGTTTTGCGTTTCAGAAAGTGCTTTCCCACGAAAGCTCACGACTATGTGATAGGCGTTTGTAATGGATCCCTTGTTGTCTGCTTCCTCACTGAAGGCAAGTAAGCATATTTCCTAGGATATTTTCCACCAATGTCAACTCAATGAAGTCAGATGTGTGTTCCATAAGACTCAAGGTCGGAAGTGAAACGCTAGTCATGCTCAAAGCCAGCCACCTGATCATTCGGGCTTAGTTGTAAAAGTGATGGGATTCTAATAGAAAGCCAGTTGTGGTCAGTTTGGAAACCATGGGCAGAAATAAATAAACAAACAAATAAATGAACACTATCTGATTTGTCCAAAGATCCGTTTGACAAAGTAAACCTTCGGGCAGGCCAAAGCAAAATAAAAATTTAGTTGATGGGAGTGTTAAAAAAAGAAAGTTGTGTTTTGAGGGGCGTTTAGTGCAAAAATTCACAGTTTTCTGATTACAAGGAAACAGGTAATGTACTATCTAGTAAGATTATCAAATAAGGTTTGGCAGTTTGTTCTAAATACGAGGTGTAAAGATTCTTTTGAAGACAGTGAAACCGATGCTGGTGTTTCATACTTACTACATGAGTTGAATCGAGTGGAGTTTCATTTTTTTACAATTGATCCCGATGTAAATATATGTTTGCAGTAGTGAGTCAGTCAATACAACCTCGCTGACCTTAAAATTGCTATTTCTGTTTGCCCCATGCTGCCGACCAATTACGGGATCAAGAAGATGCATGTGAGTTTGAAGTAATTTGCATAATCTGTCAATTTGGTGTGAAACTTCTATGTCGAGCTAGTAAAATGTTCAGGGGTAAGGACTTTGACTTCAGCCAAGGCAGGCAAAAATTCAAATGATATCTCTCCTTACAGATGGTTTGTAAAAAAAACAATTATTTGTGGACCACGGAGGTTGGTTCACAGTTGTGAGTTGATATTAAAACACTATCGTCTAAAAAGTCGATAAGTGATGGGATTTGATCACGTGAGCTTGGGTGACCCCAGGTTCCGTGTAGATGCGTCAGTGAAGACAACCAGACACTCATCACAAAGGATGTTAGTACGCCCAACCACATCTGATTAGGAAAACGCGAAAATTTCTGAGTGTTATACAATAGGTTAAAAGTGGATTATCAGACTATTTGCCATACATCATTAACATCGTAATGTCCTTCAGAAATTACGTTAACTCATGTTTATTCTGGTGCACGTCCAGGATTAGTATCAGATCATTTTGAGGTCAAACAACGCTATTAATTAAAAACACAGTTAGGACACAAAACCTAGCCTTGTTATAAACGGATGTCAAAAAACTACATTTCTGATACAGCCCATAAAGTGCTCACCGCTGTGCATGTTTCCATAAACAACGACTGCCTGTTTTGCATTAAGCAAAAATAGGACAGTTACTCTCTTGAGGCTATCGAATCTTCCTCACCGTAGGGTATTCGTTGACTGAAACACTGTAGCTCTATTAGAAGCCTTTACGCTAGGTTCGGAGTAGTTCAGAATAACTATGTACCTCTTGGATATGTACATATATATATATATGCATATATATATATATAGAGAGAGGAAGATTATATATATATATACATATATATAGATAGAAAGAAAGATAGGTAGATAAAATAAACAAATAAATAAATATATACACCTCCCCTAGAGTAGATATGCGCCTATTACCACGTCTCGCAAGTTTTGTATTTGCTTTTCAAATTTGATTAACAAGATTCTGTCAAGTTGTTTAGAATCCATCAAGAAAAAATTCCGGAAGGGGACTTCCAGACTTTGAACATAACGGATGAAGATATCAAGTACTCCTGATTGGTGATTACAGAACTCACGGATAGTTGGCGATTTACTGGCTCACCATCAAATCAATCGTCTCTGGTTTAAACGAGGCCATAGAATGCAAAAGTCTTACGACCATTTGATGCCACTGACCAGATGCTGATAAATTCAAAATGAGAATTCCAACTTTACCCAACAGGCATTTATTCGGTCAGACAGCTGGACTACACTCGTAGATTTAAGCATATTGTCCTTTCAGAGACCATGGAGAGGGTAGAATTGATACGTTAACTTGAGTATTGGTCAGAATGTGGATAAAAACGTGTCCAATTCATTTCGAGCAAACTTTACCTAACCAACTTGTGAGCATATTAACTCCTCATGTAGTCAACTAATTACTAACCTCGGTGAAGTTCAGCGATCAGAAGTTTGGTCTGCTTCATTCTTGGTCTTCAAAATCACTTCCCAAAAAAGATATCCGTTTTACTAGTACATTATTTAGAGCTTCTCAAGAAGCTCATGCAAAAGTTGATGTAACCAGTTTGTTGTTGTCCAGTTAACGCGTGAGACTTTCCACAGCCATCTTGAAACATTTTTATTTTGACTTCAAAGGTTTCGGTACGTGACTACAGCGCGCCTCTCCAGAGTGAATCACTACCCCCGACGTATTTCCAATGAAATTGCAATTGATGGGTTAAGTAAGTATCGTTTGAATTCTTATCGGTGTATATTTTTTATGTGTACCAGAAATGATAGGAACTTCATACTGATCCAATCTAACTAAAAAGAGGTTTCGTGCGAAGTATTCTACACTGATTCATCATCATCATCATCATCATCATCATCATCATCATCATCATCATTATCATCAGTGGCTATAGCTGCTGTAGTTTCGTCCACTGGAGAACTGAAAGAACACTAGTGGATGGCTGCGCAATAGAGGCGGTCACAGATATTGTTGACGAGTAAATCTGAGTGACAGTTGAATTTTCATGGTAAAGGGTGGGAGGATGAGCCTTGGACTAAAGCGACTGAAAGTAATCAAGACACGTCTGTCACGGTTGTTTGAACACATCTCTGTACCCTTCTCGCTGTCCCCATCCAGAAAGACAACAGAAAAAGTTGGCTGACTAATTTCTGGTAGTGATTTTAGCCATCAAATAGTGGTCTGACCTCTGACTCGTTTTCATCTTTTACGTGGTTATGCAAGAAAGATTATTAAAGGCTTTCGCTTGACCGATATACGCAGCGCTTTACCGAGACCGTGCAAACTATGGAGGGCGATTAGCTCATCTATCATGGGTGAGTGATTTCCTTCGAAACACATTTGACGTAATTCACTAGTATTGATCCGATGCTTGCGCTAGACCTGGGCGATTCTCTGAGCACCTCGGTAGTCAAACGCTGAAATATTTTTAAATTTATCGGCTGGTTTAGACAGGTTTCTAGCACGCATGATAAGATGGAGCATATCACAGCATCACCCCTGACAGATAAGCTGATGTCACGTCCACGCTACAGAGGATGCAGGTCGACAAAACCCGCGCTAGCTTTCCTGATTTGAAAGGAAAGAAAATCTCGTTCGGCCATATTACCGGGGCTAATACTACTAAGTCAGCCAGGCAACCTGCAGATATGAGTTTCGGGAATGGTTGATCTGTGTGGAGAAGTGGGCTTTTGGTGTATTCAGATTTCACTTTGTGACGAGGGGATCTTAATTTGCAAGAGTAGTATACCAACACGGAACAATTAAGCAGAATAGAATGCCCTGTAATGGACATAAGAGGGACAACAGTTTTGCGCAGATCCCGTCGAATATCACAAATAAAAAATGAATTTGGAAGGAAGATGTTGGTCTGAAGCCTTTCCCTTCAATCCACACATTTCCCGCTATGGAGCATACCCAGCATCACCCCTAACAGATAAGCTGATGTCACGTCCACGCTACAGAGGATGCAGGTCGACAAAACCCGCGCTAGCTTTCCTGATTTGAAAGGAAAGAAAATCTCGTTCGGCCATATTACCGGGGCTAATACTACTAAGTCAGCCAGGCAACCTGCAGATATGAGTTTCGGGAATGGTTGATCTGTGTGGAGAAGTGGGCTTTTGGTGTATTCAGATTTCACTTTGTGACGGGGGATCTTAATTTGCAAGAGTAGTATACCAACACGGAACAATTAAGCAGAATAGAATGCCCTGTAATGGACATAAGAGGGACAACAGTTTTGCGCAGATCCCGTCGAATATCACAAATAAAAAATGAATTTGGAAGGAAGATGTTGGTCTGAAGCCTTTCCCTTCAATCCACACATTTCCCGCTGAAACCCATAATGTTGATAAAATCTCGTTGCCAGATAATTTTTCAGGTCAGACATACTGAATTGATAGTTGTAAAAGAAAACATAAACTGAACCTCTAAGGAGCTGAAGTGAACTTGAGAGTGGGAACTCAAGTTACGATTGTCTGCCTAAGTTTGCTTTTTCTGTGAGTCTCTCTCAGGACTCTCAGGAAGATGTCTAGCTTGTCCAGTTAAAACGGGTGATAGAGTGAGCTAATTGACTGATGTAGAGCGCAATCGCGTGGCCAAACGAATCAAGGTATTTCCACTAAGTAGTTTTTTCCTTGGTGATTTTGGTCTATTTATCTTCATCTCACACGTTCTGATTTGTCTATCGGTCGGGCCTTCGAACAAAACCAAATTGATATGCAACCAAGCTGCAGAAATTCAGACTGTCATCTCCAAGACAACTGTGTGTACAACGAGAAAAGTAACCTTCGAAATGCCACATGATATTTAGTAAATCCGGTGTTCATCCCGGCATCTAACCACTAGCTTTTTGTGTTCTTTAAAGGAAAACAACCTTTTGGTTGGGCTTATTTTTCCTCTCCAACTTACATGGTCAGCGCAGGTGCTCGCGAAGTCTCTTGCCTGGTGCATTTTCAAAGGTAAGCAACTCATGATGAGTTTGCGATAAAATCCCAAATACAGTTTGTAAAGACATGTATTAACGGTAGTTCTAAATCTTCATTAGTCAGCTGAAGCTAGCAAGGATTATTCTATGCATATGTTTACTGAGCCTGCCTTTCATGGACAATAATTTTGTTGATCTGCTTCAACTTTATACGTTTTAGGCACCACGTCACCTCAGATACAGGATCGAAAACAGTAGATAAAAGCTGTATCGAAGACAACTCCGTGAGTTTGGTTTGTTCGACTGCCTAATGATAGATTCGCACCGTTGAAGACCCAAAAGCCAGATAACTTCTCAGAACCATTGCTCATTCTTTGGTACAGAAACGATTCAACACGACCTTGAGGCTACCATCGATTTACTGGCCAGGTCATTCTCTTGAAAACCTGTTCATGAAACTCCTTATGAGGTTTACTCTACCCCATGTGGTTGTGTTCTGCAATAGACGAGTTCATAAGGTGATTCTCCTGGTTGGGTGAAGTCGACCGTAACAGAGTTTCACGTTGTGCAAGGCGCTTTCTATTTTCTTCATCTATGCCACCTAAGGTTCGAGACGAATTCCTGTTGACCCAGTCCTGTTTACGGTAACAGGCAAAAGAATCAGAAAGATGAGGCAAAGAATCAGAACTATCTATAAGCAGAAGTTTTCAGCTCACCCCAACCTTATAATTTCTACGCGCAGGTGCATGCACGTTTCTCTTGTCTATGTGACCGACTGATGGCGCAAGAGATATAATGGGGCCACCAGTTAATTTTCTTCCTGAAGCCTACATAGATTAGTTCGTTCCCTGCCCCATCGCAATCAGCATGGAGTTGTTGCCCTTTTCAGGTTCCAACAGTTTACCTTGGGAAGTTTTAAATCTAATGCAACGACAGCTCACTTAATTCAGCTTGCTTCGCGATCAAAATATGTGGCAAGCTAGAATGAGACATTCCACACCAGGGTTTTTGGTTACAACATGGCGATATCTCACCACAAAGAGGTGCTAATGCTCATTGGAACTGGTCGCCACATCTTGTAAACGGTACACTTTGTTGCAGTAAACCTGGGTAGTGGTGCAGAATGGGTTCTACTGCTCATTGACACTGTAGATAAACTGACAGAAAAACAAAAAAGTTGGCTGGTATCTCAAAGTGCAACATTTTCTGGCTGGTTTTTGAGTGGAGCCGTAGTATACGTTACAAAGCAATTGTTGGTAGCTAGTAGAATGGTTCTCGAAATGGCATCATCCATCAAGAATGAGTTTTCAGTTTTCCATATTTTTTCCGGGTGGAAACGGCTTTTCTTCAGCTAACTGACACCGAATATTGCTAAAAATGCCGTAACTTTATGCAACAACAATGTTAACGATCACAATATGGGATGAAAACATACGCGGTTTCACCAAGCATAATGGAACTTGCGGGCCACACAAAAACACGAGGACACAAACTTACGCTTCGAATGAGTGTACTTTGTGTGCGGCCTCTCAAAGATAGGACGGAGGAAGTGTGAGATTTGGTGTGTAGTTTAATTATCATATGATTAAGACATTTGAAAGTTCTTGGTTTCACTAGGATGCTGGCTCCGATTGCAATAAAGCTGGATTCTGGTTGGATATGCCTTGACTTCAATCTCGCTGTCTTGCCGGGCATATTTCCCTAAATATGCTGTTTTTATGCCGACCAGTTTACAGGCAAAAGCCCCAAGATGGAAACTTTCTTCAGTGATCAGCGTGAATGCGTCGAGCGAAGAAATACACTTTTCAAAAACACAGTGAGAGCGAATCACACTACTGATTAACCAGTCATGGACAAATGTTTAGCCACTAACCAGGTCCGGAACTCTGAATTTCGCGTGATGTGCAGTGCTGATGATTCCAAGTTTGAATGCAACGGGTTTACAGCGTTTTTCAGCATTCCAGCATAGGTGAGCTTCACTGATAGAAATCTCTTGTGAACATCACTAAATCTCTTCAAATCTGCTTCAGAGAGTGAGGCACACTCCGGTTCAGTTAACTCTGACTTAAGAACTACAGAAGCCCTTCGTGATTCACAGCCTATGAGTACAAACTATCCGTTGAGAAAATGAATGAATAGAGACACAGTGGTAGTGACGAAGGCATATGTGAATAGTTGGTTCTCCTCCTTCCCCGATAGATCTCTATGGAAACGAACCAAGCGAGGAGATAGCTTTGAAGGTGGAGAATTCTTCCTTTATCGCCTCCCCAAATTTGCTGCTTTACTTTACACCACTGATCCAGTTTAATTTGTTGACTGCTAACTTAGAAGGTCTGCGTCAGTAAGTATAGCTGGTTCACCAAGATATCGCACTAGTGAATTTTTTAAGCGCACATTGTTCGATAGATTGGACTCACTCAGATAAACACGTACTGTTTGCTGAAGCATTTCACGTTTGAAATTCAGATCAACGGTAACGCAGATAAAGGATAGAATGAGCCAACGCGTGGCAAATCAGTGTCACCTGATCGCACGAAAATAATTTTTTTCGTCAAACGAGAATAAATCTTCGTGTTTAGAGTCTATCCAGGTTTCACTGGGTGAGAAAATCATCAGTTCCTAAAGATGTTTATGAACTGGCGGCCAAAAAAGAAACTATGATTAATTTTAGGCTGGGTTTGCGCACACAGGAATGTTGGAAGGACTGAAATATTCGTTTCACATAAGGTGTACCAATCCACCCCAGGGTGTTAGTGGCACGCGAATACAAGTAAGACTTTAATACCGTAGGGCGGATGACCCACGATCAGGTCCTTGCTGGTCATCCCAGACAAAGAAAAACCCCATTACTAACACCACCACTTTGGCTTTCAGTAGTGGCCAGCGTCTTAGAAACTTCCCATAGAAATGATGAAATATTGAAACAAACACCTGTAGCCTCAGTTTCCACTAAATCTTCGTTCACTGGGAATATTCCATTTCTCCGAGTCAGTGGCGCTTCATGGTATTTTTCGAGTGTGTCAAAGATCTCAGTCCTACGTTGAAGTAGTAACTCGTAGATGTAAAGACAAACGAAATAGGCTTCTTGCGTTGCACTCTGAGTAAACTTAATGAAAAATGAAGCACTGATTTAAATGCCTCCTGGTTTTTGGAATAGAAATCACTCGTTGAGGAACAGGAAACTGAAAAGCCCAGAAAAAGCTTGCAGAACCACAGCGTAGAGACAGAGTCAGTGAATGCGAGGAGAACTTCGACATCCAAAAATTCACTGACACCGACAACCGATATATTCTACGTTCCATTCGAGGTTCGACCTGGAAGTGCGCAGCCTGGAATTCATTACGAACCCATCTCTGCAGGTGTACTGGTAAGTTGGGATGGTAATATGAGGAGAATAAATGATACCTTTTAAAGTACCGGGACCCCTGAGAAGGGCTATGATCCTTTTTTCAATGATCAATGGATGGCAGATGTTCTTTATCTATTAGCTTTGTGTCCACCATTTTACCTACCCTCACTGCTTTTGTATATTTTCAGCCCTTTTATTATAAGTTGTGAAGTAAAAAAGTGGGGATCTGAGTATTAATAATTGTGAGCAAATGCTGATCTGAAGAGTTAAGAAGTTCCCCTCGTAACCTTTATAGATTTAAATCTGAATTTGTGTACACGTGCCATTCTCTTGGTTGATCTTGTGGTAGTTGATCTGTTTGCGGAGCTTGATAGTTTGGTTTCTCGTCCCCAGTCGAGAAGACATGGTCAGCGCGCAGTTGAGTAGGTGACTCATCCATGCCTAGATGCGTTTATATTGTTTTTGAAGAGTATCTAATATCCTGTCATGTGATTGGCTAATTGATGCATACCTTCCTTGTAATACTGTTATCCCAATCGTGATTTGCGCTGGATTGTGGTCTGCATGCCTCGTATTACATTGGTTAGTTGGATGGCTGTTTTGGGGTGCTTCAGATCCGTTTTCGATTGGCTGGTTCCTGCTTTGTGTTGCATTGTAGTCTTTCTTCCTCGAATTTAGTTAGTTGTGATGGTAGTTACTATTTTTAGTAGTCCCCTTACTTCAGCCTGATTTAGCCTGAAGTGAGGAAACTACCGAAAAATAGCAACCTCCATTTATCTTAGTAGTACTCCTAACTTATGGCCCAGTTAAGATCCACTTCACTCCGATCCTGCGAGGCTTGGTTTGAAATGCACAGCTTGCCAGAGTCTACTAATAAATTTCAATAAAGGCCGCCCTATATGGCTCCCCACCAAACAATAGAATTTCGAATTCGTATAATCTGACAGAAACTAAAAATCTTACCGACGGGATCGTAGAACTCCTTTGTTCCTAAACAACAGATCTTGCACCGCGGGCTTTGACCGTTTGACATGCAACTAACAGAAGCTCCTCCTTAACCTGAAGTGAGGGAACTATCAAAAAATAGAAACCGTCATTTTTCACAACAGTACTCTTCACTTATGCCCTAGTCAAGAGCCACTTCTATCCGATCCTGTGGGGCTCGGTTTGAAACGCATAGCTTGCCAGAGACTACTAATAAATTTCAAAAAAGACCGCCCTATATGGCTCCCTGCCAAACAATAGAATTCTAAATTTGTGTATTCTGACGGCAACCAAATATCTTACCGATGGGGTCGTAGAACTCCTGTGTTCCTAAACCATAGATCTTGCACCGCGGGCTTTGACGATTTGACATGCAACTAACAGAAGCTCCTCAACAAATACCAACTCTAGAATAAGACCTGTGTTTTTTGTCCCTTGTATTTCCTGATGTAAAGTTCTTCCCTAATAATAAACCACATGTGTTGAGTTCCCACTGGTGGCCCTTGAAGCAAGAAAGCCTTCGTTCCTCAATAAAGACCAGTTTAAAAGTCGGTCAGCAACAGTTTATATTTTCGTTTAAATAAACAAATATATATGGCCTTCCACACAAGAAATTGCTACAGAGAGCTGGCTGAAGGTGATGTTTTCTGCTGGTTTGTCTTGTTAAAAGTAGCCTTCTAGTGAAGCACGCTCTGATAGCCAAACCGATACTTTCTTTCCGTAATCAGCTTCTTCAGCTGGTGTACTGTTTAAGGAAGAGGTATATAAGAGATAAATAAGATACAGGTCTTAGATCACTATCTGCAGTACGTTTCGTATGATGTGTATTACAGGAACTCTTTTCCAGTGTGTAACACCTAGGGAAGTCTTTCTAAGTCCAGGGGTTCCTCAGCCTCCCCATTCCCAAGACTTTATGAAACTAGTATTTTGAGGATGACAAAGTTAGTCAGTAAGTCAGTTTATTGTCTAACCACAACATATTACACCATTAAAAATGTAACATATTTTTGTCTGATTTAATAGCAAACTTCGCTTTAAGGAACGGTTGAGAACGCTTTTGCTTAGGCGTGCTCCCTGGATAGTCCACATCATGTTTGCGCCCGAAGAAGTTTTTTGGAAAGAAGTTTACAAAAATCGGATAAGAGTGAAATCACTTAGCATATGTGCTACCCCTGAGGTGGTTTTTCCGCAATAAAGTTGCAAAATTGACATCCATAGTCAATGTAGCCTGCTGTATCACACATCCCAAGACGGAAGTACTGATTGATGTTGGTAGGCGATGCAACGTACTTTCATTCACCATCAAAGGCAATGCTCTTAAAAGCAAAGTGACATTTTTAAGGTTTTCTTAAAAGACAATAATGATGCAGAACGTTGACTTGCGTGCTTATGAACCAGACGTGTGTTTTTGAAAGTTTGGAGGCACACTTATACTTGTGTGAACGGACAAGTTCGTCATTGCTGTTAAGACAAACCCGCACTCAAACCGTGTCCGCTGACCTTAAGGTGCTATGGCTTGTCAGCGCGATAATCTGTTATTCTGATGGAAGAGACCAAGGAATTACCGTTTGATTCTTAATTCCAATAAATTTGAAACATTTAGAGTGAAATTGGGATTTCAGTGCGCAACTCTAGTTAGCATGCATTGAGTTACGGCTTTCAAACGAAATTCCCTAAACTTTCACTACGTTGACGATGTTCATAAACGATAAGTATTGTGTTTATAGGGCAATATTTCTTGTGTTTCTTGTTTTGTGAGTGAGGATCCCATGAAAACTGCACTTGCCCTAGGGTTTCATCATATTTCTACCGAAATTCTGAGTCCATTGTTCTTGCTCGGTAAAAGGTATTCTTCCTTAGAAACATCAGCCCCAAGTGTAGTGTTAAGAATCCCCCCCTGTAAATTTTATTTATCGGGCGGTTCCGCAACAAATCCGAGTACATGTGGGAAGTAAAAATGCCGGCTATCTCTTTGACAAGTGTGACATCACTAGCCTTCTTTCTTTTGAACTCACAAGCATTTTACAGGTGAAGAGAAGGAACACTCAATTTTAATTGGACTAAATGTGGATAATTCAGTTCCGGTCTGCTCGGAGCCTTTGGACTTTTATGTTATCCTTAGCAGTCATCACTCGAACCAACTCAAGCGAGAAGAAAATGCAGATCCTGAAGAAGAACAAAATAGTCCAAATCGTTTGCGAGTTGCAACGCCGGCCAGTCCTTCTGTTGCTCGTGTTTTACTACTGCCGTCGGATGGTGAGTCAGAGAATGACACAGGTCCACCGTAGTTAATAATACTACAAAACTATGAACAAAAGCGGTTTGAAAGTGTTGAATTTCCTAATACCACTCAATAGGCGCGAGCATGCTTCACATGTATTAACGTATTTTGCAATATCACTGCAGTGAAGGAAGCATGTGTGGAGCCTGTGATTTGGTTTATTCACTAACACCTGGCCTTCGAGTAACCTTCAATTGTCCTTCGATGATAACACTACGTTTGCAATCGTTTTATCAGACTCATTCGTGTGGATAGCGTAGGCATCTGGGGATAATAAACTAGTACCTTTCAGATAAGCTACTCTTGCACCACATTTAAATAGAAGAAATAATTATTCCGTCACATTTTTTTAGTGAATAGTTGTGTCACGTTGCCCCGCCACCTGTGAGTGCGCGAGGCAAATGCTGGTGCAGGTATTCACATAAGACTATGGCAAATGCAAAAAGCAATAGTTCCTACTCAATTCATACATTCTCAGACATAAGGCATGAAACTAGCCTGGTTATTGTCTCATGGAAGGTGAGACCTCTAATCATAGCTACATCATGGAATAAGCCAGTGCACTGTGAGGTAAACATATGCTGATTAGGCATATGGGAAATTTCCCGAAAAAATCTGGAGCAAGATGCTAAAGTGGCGTGGTCTGTTGCCTCTCCTGGCGACTCAGCCGTACTTCTGAGGCTACTTGAACTAGAAACACAGATGCAATTTTGTTGAAATAACTGGAAATATTGAAGTGGTGCATACGATCCAACAAAATATTCCTAATTTGTGGCTGTTGGTTCCTTCTCGTCACGGGACAATGTGGTTGCGAACCATTCACTACCGGCCGAGGAGACATAATCCGTGCTACCCTACTACCACTGGAGCAATGTCACCTCTACCATCGATGAAACGTTTGCAACCAAATTGCTCAGTTCGGCGAACAGAGCAACGGCCACCACTACAAACTGAGTTTCCAACATTCTCTTCAGTTTCTTACATATGGTGGCATCTGAACATCATTCGGGTCTTTATTAAATAGACATTACAACATGATTATCAAATTAGACGTTTGCTTTACCGGATATCCGCCATGCATCCAGTATTATTTATTATCAGGAGTAAAATGTTGTTTTACGTTAAGTTATCCATAAGGAAAAAAGGATTTCAGGACGAGAACATAATAGATCTCCTTTAGAAATATTTTCATCGCTAGTGATGAGAATCGCCCTGGTGACTGCATTTACAGGAAGGAAAAGATATTCTTACTCAGGGTAAAACTGTTTTTTTCTTACGTGCGTATCAAACGGACAAAACTGCAGGGGTATTGCATTAGTTTAGAGTTGCCCTTTGATCCACGTTTAAGAGAAGGTCACTGAATGAAGACAGTGATCTGGTTCATCACTTGTAGCTATACATCTGTACTAAGTGCATTGCAAACTTCTGTATTAGGTTAATGTCCCATGCCACCTAACGATAGTGCAATCCAGGAATGTCATTAACGTCTCTCTGCAGCTGTATGCAATACCCATGGTCACTGCTAAAAACATCTCTGAGCCTTAGTTCTGCCGTTTTCATGTTTCCTCATCTCTTCAGAAGCATTATTTTTATCCTTAATTGCAGCCGAAACATTCTTCACTTGTCAGTGGAAGAGATTAATTACTGAGTTAAATCCCGACAGGAACACCAAGGTGAAAAAATGATGAAGTTGTTTGTCTTGTTCCAGGAGACAAATCCTCAGTGAAATATGCTACATCCGTTTATGTTTGTTTATCACATCTTATGGGAGTGATGGAAGCACTCTTGATATAGTCGAAAAGTCATGCGCCGAAAAATTTAAATACACAATAGCGTACCCTGAAAGACTGGCAATATTCACCCGCCTATGTCCGGATCCCCTATCTGTAGCATTCAGGCGGTGAAGTCACTGTAGAGCAGGTTACAAAGGAAATAGTGTAGGACCCCATAAGTGGGTTTCCTTGAGCGAAATTTACCCTACTAATTAAGTATCGTTTTCAAAACGGCTAATTTTTCACTACTCATGCCAAACAAAGTAGTTTGCAGACGCAACGTGTCCAGGAAGTAGTGCGCTCTCAGCAGGTCAACCAGAAGGTAAGTGTGAGTTATACGGATACAATAAAAAATCGCTTTGCTTAAGTTATCAAACAAAGCGATTTTTGCTTCTTGTCAGTCTGAAATCCCATGGAATCCACGAAGTTGTAAAACTATACTCGCATATTCAAGTAGATCAGTGTTCGGTAGTTTAGACCAAACCTGTTCAAAGGCTCCGATTGGCATTAACCTTATCAGTATAGATTGATTCCAGCAATCTGTTAAACCACGTCGAGTTACGCGCAAAACCCCAAAAGCCAATTCTTTCAAATGGAGGTTTATCTACAAATGCGGTACTATAAGTACAATAATAAAATGATAAAGCTTTACAAACCTCAAATCGTGGGACTATGCCGGCTTCTATACACCGGTTTAGGAACTGCTAATTCCTAACGGGTCTCAAGGTCCACGCCGACTCGGAGCCACGTGTTTACAAGCTAGCGAAACCACGTGTGAACTTAAACGACACGTCCGATGACAAGGTCAAAGAACGGTTTATGTTCAGGTCAAAAACAACAAGGGTGGTATAGGCACAGACCAAAAACAAAAAAGGGGGAATCGCGTTGTACAATATAAAGAGTGGAAGAAAGGAATCAACAGAGATATTCTGTTAAACCAGAAGTTGCTCTTTCCTCCCATTTTCTATATGGAAGGGAGTTACTACTAAAAGATTCAGAGTTTTCGTTTTCAGTCTTAAAGAATCTGACGAGATGCGATCCTGTATGAGGTCACTTCACTAGTTCTCTGCTAGGAACATCCCACAGCATTATGGCTACATAGAGAATAACTGCATATTGTCCTGCGCTGAATTGTTGGCCGCATTATCGGAAGATACATTGAGGAAAACAGACGACTGTCTCAGATCGCCAATTCTGAAATCGCACTCAAAAGGGGATTGACATAAAATGGACTGCATACGCTATGGTGAGAGATAAATGCCAGACAACCTATTCCCCTTAAGGCTACTACTGCTGGTACCTACATTTTTTATCGCCATGCGGTCCTGCATATGTAGAACAGTGCCAACTCGAATGGCATGCAACAGTTGACGAAAATTCAGACCAGCAAAGCTGCTATCATGGGGTTCAAATCGATTAACATCAGTGACTGAATAGTCTCGGTGAGCCTAGGAGATAGTGGTCGCAATTAGGATGTTGATTAGCAAACCCATCCGAGCTGAAACAGTCGAATTCCCCTTCAAATGTAGGTTTCATAACACGAGCATCGAGCCGTCAAGATTTTTCTGTTCCAAGCAAGTTTTCCCCCATACAAAAAAGTTGCCGTTGCCTTTCCAACTCTTTCGGGGACTCCTTACAAACAAAGACATGTATGGCACTAAAACCAGAATATTTGTTCAGGGTAACAAACTTTCATTGTAATGAGATCTGTAATTGCCCGTGAGGTAGAATCATTGGGTCTGGAAGCAAGTGTCTGACAAGATAAAACAATTCTAAACTACCGTTTTATCAAAAAACGCTTCACTGAGAAAACAAATGTGCTACATGCACTGGAGAAGAAGAACTCTAGCTCTTATCCCAACCCGTTTTATTGTTTCACGCTAAGAAGTCGCTTCCAGTTGTTGCCAGTGTTGTAATAAGTTAGAAAGTTGCACACAAACGGGCACAGCCACCTCTTGAATTGCAAAATTTAGATGGAAAGAATACAGCTAAAGTTAAATCCGATCCATCAGTCCCAAGCTAAATATTAAAAGTATCACTGAACTTCGACATTTTGCTTTTTTGTATTCTCTCCAGCAAGTGACTGTCTCGAGATGCAAACCAGTCATTATTACGCCACACCGGACTCAACATCAGTCGTTGTTGCTGTGATTCGTCGAGGTCCGTGTCAACAATTCTGCCAAGTTGAAATCTTCACCAGGTATGTTTAGCTTTTATCTAGGGGGATAGAATACTGATCTAAATTTAGAAGGAGTGATAAAACTTTTCAGCAAGGGACAGCAAGCCTAATATAGCCGAACGGAACAGAATCAAGTTACAAAACCATAAAGCATCAGGCTTTTTTAGAAAATTTCAGGTGTGTGTATCTTAACACAGAAATCTACCAAGAGAAACTATACCAGAAAAGTGAAGCGTCATAACTCACTTGAGGGCGGCCCGAAAATTAGATCACGAGTGACCGGGTATAATTCAATGGGCTTTTAAGCGAATGAGCTCTCTTCGTAGAGGTAATATATGGACAGATTATCTCACTACTGGCACCTAGCAGAGCACAGCAGACGCTTTCTTTTCCTCAGTTAGCATTGCGTTTTTAAGTGCACAACACTATTGACCTTTGAAAAGTTCTAATTAGTAGATAATGCACCGGCGTTGGACCAATCGTAATGTGCGATTTCCGGGGCCAAACCTTTAGGACCAGTCCACCCTCGGAGGAGGGTAGCATAACGGCCCCCATAAAAATAAAAATGCTGGCCAATCGGAGGAGAAACATTCCTGTCGCACCAAAATCGTAGAATTTTACCTCTGGATGATTTCATTATATTACAAGAGGAGGACGACTGCCATTGGGACGAGTTAAAAACCGAAACTAAGAGTCTTCTTAAATATGGACGGAATTCACAACAGCGAGTTCACTAGGTACCACCTCCCTTCGTTGGGTTCCGGATGTGACAGCCTTCTCTCTGGGCCTTGCGGCTCGGTGAAACATCAGATTATGGTGTGCCTATATTCCATTGACTACTTGAGACATTCCTTATTGGTCGAGTTACACTATGGGACAATGTCGCGGTGCAACTTAAAGGTGGAATCCCCAAGACCCTATTTGTTTGACTCAGCAGTTTCTTTTTAGATGCTTTCAGTCGTGCTACTTTCTTCGGGATAGGTTGAGTTGTCAGAAATCAGTGGCCTACTTTTTTCGATTCCAGTGGACCGTCCAACAGTGGACCGTCTATCACAATACGATAACCTATATCAAGATGGCTCCCCGGCCATCAGCTTTCTGCTCACCATTAGCCACTCTGACAAAGTTAAATCTAAAAGAACACATAGTGTAGTCATGATAGCCCTGTGTCGTCACAGCACACAAGACCGACAGTCACAACAAGTTAGCTGTCTTAGGCCGATTATACATATATATATATATGTATTCGGCAAGAATAAAAGAAGTTCATATCTGTGTGATCACTTGATATATCAATTCTATTCAAAATCTGTTGATCGATGCTCGTAATTATCTGTTAAGTTATATGCGTTCTGTTAATAGTGAGGTAACTTCATCCAAGACTGCAAAGGAAGTCATTTTATGCTGAAAAGCCATGATAAACCGCACAGATGTTTCAAATCGGTGTACATCTCTTACGAATTTTTGGGGGGATTCAAACCAGAAACCTCCAGATTGTAGCTGAAATGCCGTTCGACATTGAGTGTTAGAGCAATAATATGATTTGCCACTGCTCTCTAATCATGTCGTAAAAGAAATATAACCTAGTGTTGACAGGGTCCTTGAATGATGCCTCCCCAGATGAAGGTCCATGTAGCTCTTATTTGTCAGAGCAGATTGCTCACAACACTGGCGACCAGAAGATTTTAAAGCGCTGACTGGGATCTCATTATACACGTGAAGCCGATTTATTCTAAAATGATTTGGGAGCCTTACTTTTTTGCAGTAATTTATTCACCCAACGAAATCCACCTGTG